ATTAACATCTTTATTGGAGTATAACTGCTTTACAATGGTGTGTTAGTTTCTGCTTTATAACAAAGTGCATCTCATACTTCTTAAACTCTTGCAAAGAATGTGTAAAATTACAAGTGCTGCAGGATACCCAGGCAGATTGTAATTAACCTTATTCAAATTTTTGGACATCTTTTAATAAAAGCACTTTTGGTTTAAACACTTTAAGACCTACTTAAATTTTTTTTTTTTTTTTTGCGGTACGTGGGCCTCTCACTGTTGTGGCCTTCCCGTTGCGGAGCACAGGCTCCGGACGCACAGGCTCAGTGGCCATGGCTCACGGGCCCAGCCGCTCCGCGGCATGTGGGATCTTCCTGGACCGGGGCATGAACCCGGGTCTCCTGCATCGGCAGGCAGACTCTCAACCACTGCGCCACCAGGGAAGCCCATAATTAAAAAAATTTTATCTCATCCATCTATCTATCTATCTATCTATCTATCAATCATCTATCTAGGGCCGCACTGCACAGCTTATGGGATCTTAGTTCCCTGACCAGGGATTGAACCTGGGTCCCAGCAGTGAAAGCGCTGAGTCATAACCACTGGACTGCCAGAGAATTCCCTTAAAGTTTTAATTAAACAGTTACGACATGAATACATTTTTACCATTTAATTCAAACATAAAGCTAAAGTCTCTTTTGCCCACCACTCAGTCTTGTTCCCCAATCCTCAAAGATAACCACAGTCATCAATTTATTTTTCCTTATTGAGCTTTTTTTACACTTACATTGTATGTATGTGTTTCTGTGTATATACAGATTCATATTTCCATTAAAAATATACTATTGTTCTGGGTATGTATGTGGCTATGTGTATGTTTTTAATGAATGTTGTAACACAACTTGATTTTAATGATTAAACATTATAGTGTGGTGATGTTTCCATGTCTATGCATACAGAAAAACTTAATTACAAGGTAAACTTTTAACCCTGTATAATTTTCTAACATATGGATATGCCGCTGTTTATTAAGGAATTCATATATATATATATACACATATATATATATATCCACTTGCAAGTTTTTGCTATTACAAACTTTAATGCAAACATTTTCCTGTGTGTGTGTGTATGTAAGTATGTATGAATACATGCATTTTTCTAAGATAAGTTCCCAAATATTTAACTACTTAGTCATGGGGGATATGCATTTAAAATTTTAATAAACATAAAATTTCTCTCCAAAGTAGCTATAAGAATTTATATTCCACCAGCAAACTACAAGTAGTCATTTTCCCACATACTTGACAGTGCTTGTGCTTGATGTTATAATTAAGCTGTATTATATATACTAATCTGAGGATAAAATTAGTCTGTGTCCTTAATTATTAGTCAAATTTAAATTTACTGATAATTTGCATTTCAAAAAATAGAAAGCAAGTTCTTTGAAAAGCCCAATAAAATAGTCGGCAAGTAACATTGAATAAAAAGAAGATACATCACAAATGAACAACACTGATGAACAAAAGAGAAACATAAAAAACAATACTATGTACAACTTTATACCAATATTTGAAAAAAAATCAAGTGAAATGGAGCATTTTCTAAGAAAAGTAAATTTCCAAAATTGGCTCAAAAATCAGAAAAATCAAGAGATCAGTAGTAGTAGATGAAATTGAAATGCTAGGAAAACAGTTGTAAAAGTGAGATTTGCAGAACTTTCAGGGAAAAAAATACTTTCTATGATTTTTTCCAAAAATCAGAAAAATAATAGAGGGCTATACAACTTATTTTAGATGCTAAGAACAATCCTGATTCCAAAACTGTATAAGGATAGTACAAGAAAATAACAAAATCGAAGCTAAAATCTTAAATAATAAAATTCCATTAACATATTAAAAATTATATAAAAAACATATAGGGTTTATTCCAGAGAGCTAACAATACATTAACATTAGAAAGTCTAGCCCTGGAATTCTATATATTGGTTGACTTAAAGAGAAAGGCTACCTGATCATCTTCATAAATGCTGAAGAAACTCAACCTGAAAAATTCAATACCTACTCTTATTTAAACACACACACACATACACACACCCCTCTTAGCAAATTGGAAACTAATGAGGAACTTTTAAAATGCGATAAAAAGAGTATCTACCATAAACCTATAACACAGAGGTGCATAACTTATTGAATACAAAGTGGGAAACCACACAAAATTTCTCCTTTCAAGAAATTTTCACTGACTGCCAGAATCATGTATTTTTAATGTAGGAGATTATAATTCTGATAAATAGAATAGCACGATTACCTGCTTTAGTGCCTTCTTGCTGTGCTTCTGTGATGGAGAAATGACTTTACCTGCTGGAATGGTGGGTGATGGGCAGCCTGACTGAGGAGAGGATGGTTGTGACAGTCTGGACGATACTAGGGGGGAAAATGACAATGAAAAGTTTTGTTATTAGAGTTGATATCAAGCACCATTCCTTCCCCAATCATATGCTGCTACCTGTATTAAGAACTGTGACCAAACACTTTTGGGAAGGATCTTCTTTTTGGAGTTCTACTGCAAACAGCCTCCCTTTTCAGTTTATTTCCTCAGAAAGCTCTAGTGAAGGATGATAGGATGGGGAAGGGATGGATGTTAGTATTCATTACTTTTCATTCTTTAATTTTTCAATAGAATTGACTGAAGAAGCAGGAAGTAGAATATAAACCATGAGTCATCAACTAAGATAAAACTTAGAAAAGATGCTAAAGCCCATTGGACAGTATCTATGTTCTTAAGGTAAATCTAATAACATGATATTGTGGAAGAGCCCTGGATTGATAGAATGGGTTCCAGTTTTCCCTATCTTTAAAATGGAAGGCAATAAGGCCATTCCACCTCAAACACTACCATAGCTTTAATTTTTATATTCCTTCGTCTCTTACATCAATAGTTTTAGGTCTACCCATGTGAAAGGGTACGTTAGGATTTCTCTGATGGAATCAGTGTAGGTTTGCACAGGATGTAACCACTCTTTACTTCATCACCAGCTGTTTTATACCTCATCAGAGCTTAGCCAAACCTTAGTATTACGTAAATGAGGGTTTTCCCTTCAAGGGCCTATACCTCTTACAATAAATAGCAATTAGATCTTTATGTTCTATAAAGTTCAACAGTGTATTATTTATGATACGAGATAACAAAAGAAATTGCTGATTCAGACCCCTTAATAATAAAAATAATAATCACTACTGCTAGTGATGACTCTCAAAGAATCCATGTTTACTAATGCCTTCTTTCAAAGCAGCTGGACTGAAAGGGCCTGGATAGCAAAATGGCATCTCATGGTATGGCTAACGGGTCTAAAGATACCATATGAAGTAATGCTGGCAGGTAGCTACCTGACATAAGAATGTAGAAACATGGTTCACTGGAATACATAAGTTTTGGAATATGGCATTTCAATGGACTCTTAGATGTCCTAAGAAAGGAATGCACAGTAGACAACATTTAAAGAGGACAACAGTAGACAATGTTAAGACCTATCTTAAGACCTATCATAGTTAGCTTTAACTTTGTATCCCAACCCTTATAATCAGGTTATATATGGGAAAGAACTGACATACAGTAAGCGTGGCGTTAAAAAAAAAAATTCACCGTAATATACAATACAAAAAATGGAGTTGGATAATTCTTGAGATGGTTAAGCAACAAAAAGAAACCATATCCTAGTGCACTTAGATGTTGACCAATTTTTTAAAATAACAGTTTCACTGAGATATAACTTATATGCCATACAATTCACCTAAAGTGCACAATTCAATGGCTTTTAATATATTTGCAAAGTTGTGTAACCATCATCACAATCAATTTTCATCACCCACTAAAAAAACCCTGTACTGGTTAGCTGTCACTCCTCTTTCCCCTAACCCACTGCCCTAGTCCAAGGTAATCACCAATCTATTTTTTGTCCCTATGCACTTGCCTATTCTGGACATTGCATATAAATGGTATCATACAATATGTGCTGTTTTGTGAATGGCTTTTTTTACTTAGCATGTTTTAAAGATTCACCTCTGTTAGAGCATGTATCAATACTTTATTCCTTTTTATCATCAAATAATATTCTATTGTATGCATAGCCACATTTTGTTATTCATTAGCTGATTTGACATTTGAGTTGCTCAAAAGGACATTTGAGTTACTTCCACTTTTTGCCATTACGAACACTCGTTAGCAGAATTTTGTGTTGGACAGATGTTTTCAATTCTCCTGGGTTCATGCCTAAAAGTGAAATTGCTGTTTTTTCCAGTAACTCTACGTTTAAACTCTTTGAGGAAGTGCTAAACTGATTTCCAAGATGGTCGAACCATTTTTTACAATTCCACCAGAAATGTATGAGGGTTCTAATTTCTCCATATCCTTGTCAACATCTGATATTGTCTGTCTTTTTTATTTCACCAATGTTTTTAAAGGGACATTATAAAAATAAAACTAACAACTATTAATATTTAACTATATTTATTTTCTTTTTAATGGTCTGCAGAAATCTGAGATTATTCACGTCCTCACCTGTCCCAATAACTGTCTGAAAATAAACAAAACAAACGACCAAGCCAAAATGACCCTATTAAAGAACATAAGAATTCTACTTTGTAGCCTGGAAAAGAGATAATAAAGCTATCTGTAATTAACAGGGCAAACTGTTTGGAATGTTTCCCTTTAAGGCAAAAGCCCTTTCTAACAAATGAATCCATAAATGTATCTCAAAGCCAACTGAAATAAATCACGAAAATTCCAGGACCCACCAATGATAAATACCTCCCAGTACTTAATGCCAAGCACTGGTCTCATAACTTTAATGAAACTTAAACTTTACTCTAACTTTTAAATATTAAAGGTTCAGAACTACGAACAGCAAATAAGATTTAAACACATGTTGAGAAACTCATCTCTTTTAATTCCTTTTAGTGTCTACATTGTCTCCAAGACACATAACTTTATTAGAGCAACCATGAATTAAACATCGTCTATGTGCCTAATGCTCCGCTAGGTTCATTTGAACAGAATTTCATTGAACTCTTGTAACTACCCTCTAAGATGGGTACAACTTCTCTTTATACCCCCACCCAATCTCCTCCAATTCTATCCTCTGAGATAACTAAATAATATAGTTGGGATGGCATCCTTGCTGACATTTTTCTATGCAAAAAAAAAAAAAAATTTCAAGGATATACATTTATAAATAAATAAATATACACACCTGCATATTGTGATGGTATTATCTAAATTTTCCCTATCTGGAAATTTAATTATCCTGACAAAGGACACAGCTAGTAAGGAGCACAACTAAGATTTGGACTCTGTATAGTTTCAGAATGAGTGAGTACTTGTAGTGAGCTAAGTGGTGGCCACCAAAAGTCATGTCCATGTCCCAACCCCCAGAACGTGGAAATGTTACATTATTTGGAAAAGGAGTCTTGGCAGATTTAATTAAGGATTTTGAGATAAGGAGATCATCGTGGATTATTCCAGTAGGCCTTAAATCAAATGACAAGTGACGGCAGACACAAGACAGGCACAGAGGAGAAGGCCATGTGGACAGAGGCAGAGACTGGAGGATGTGGCCATAGGAAAAGTATGTCAGCAACCACCAGAAGCTAGAAAATACACAGAACAGACTTCTCCCTTAGAGTCTCTGCAGAGAGTATAGCCCTGCTGACACCTTGACTTCCGACTTCTGGCCTCTAGAACTGTGAGAAAATAAATAAATTTCTGTTGTTTTAAGGCTCCTGGTTTGTGGTAATCTGTTACAGCAGCCTCAGAAAAGTAATACAGCACTTAAAACGGATTTTGTTTTCTTAAAGTATCAACTCATAGATGTTTACATATTTGAAATGTTTACATCATTAGCAATTATTAAAAATTTGGCACTCAAACTGTGCACTTTTGGGGTAGTGGGAGTTCCTTCAAGTTGTAAACCATCTTTGGGACATGGCCCCAGCAGTATCCAACCACTTCCTTGCTATCTGGCACAGAAAGAGTCCTAGGCAAATCTTGCATAATTTTTTTGCCCAGACTTGGAACACCCCCTTCTCCAAGGAGACCTGATACCTTTTTATTGAAAATGGTATTAAAACACTGCACTTGATGCTACTCAGTTACCACTGGTTCTAGAACTTTTCAGTGACTGGAACAAAAAAAAAAAAAAGAATTTTTTTCAAAGGAAAAAATTTTTAAAATTCATGCAAAAGATAAATCGGAATTTATGATTACAGCATTGTCACTTAACTTTTCTGATTTTATATTTCTATCGCTTTTCTTCCCAGATAATCCTGGTTTCTAATAATATTACTGTAACTATTGTTTTCTATTATAGATTTAATTTCAAAGAAATCATATCAATATAATTACTGAAAAGAAGACTACTGAAGACAGTTTAAGATTTCTCTGAGTCTGGTCTCCCACACCTAAGACATATCCTACAGTAACTTACCTATGTCATTATGTTCAAATTTGACATATACTTGAGTTTGCTTTAAGTTGTTTGATATTTCTAGAAAGTGCATTTTAAATTTTTAATTGGCTTAATTATGTAAAACTATAAAACAAGTTACTTTCATATAAGTCTAGCTCCCTCCCCTGTCTACACCACTTTATTACCTCCTTTCCCTTAAAGGAAATAATTTATATTAGTTTTTATCCTTCCATTGTTTTTTATTTGCATTTTTGTTTTGGTGAAAACATAGTGTGTGTGTGTGTGTGTGTGTGTGTATTTTAATATGTTAACTCACTTCTTTAAGCAAAATAAACCATGTACTAGAAATTGTCCATACCCTTGATTTTTAAAATATAATCAATATAATATATCCTGGGGAAGAGAACAGAAGAGAACATAAGAGATCTTCCTTTTAACACCTGCAAAAGATTCCACTGGCAGATGTACCATAATTTCTTCAGCTGGACTCTTATTTTGGTAATTTCTAGTCTTTTGCTCTTATTACTACAATGTCTTAACCAGCGGTTTCTAAGGTGTTGTACCAAGAACAAAACCATAACTATCTAAAAATCTGTTAGAATGCAAATTACTAGACCCCAGTCCAGATCTACTGAACCAGAAATTCTGAAGGTGGGGCCCAGGAATCTGCATCATAATAAGCTCTCCAGGTGATTCTGATGCATGTTCAACTATAGTCTATACGAAGAAACAGTTTTCCAAAGTGGTTGTACCGATTTATACTCCTACCAGCAATATATGAGAGTTCCAACATAATTTACCACATTAACAGAATAAAGGAAAAAAATATATCTACTGAAATAGTAGATGAAGGAAAAGCAACTGATAAAATTCAACAACTGTTCGTTATAAAATCTCTTAGACTACAAATAGAAAGGAACTAACTTCATCTAATAAAGAGTGTCTACAGTAACCTACTGTAGTCAACGTCATTCTGAAAATGGCATAATATTCAAAACTTTACCTTATAAATATAGAGAAAAGGATGATTGACGTTACCACTCCTATGTCACTCTTTACTGGAAGCCCTAGCCAGTATAACATGGCAAAAAAATAAAACTGCCACTACTCATAAATCACATGTTTGCATATGTGGACAATCCTAAGAATAAACCTATATATAAACCATTAGATTAGAAAATAATTTAGAAATGTTGCTGGATACAATATCAATGCTGGGAGAGGCAATCCACCACGTGCCCTCAGTGTTGCTACAAGTACTTGCTGGGTATGCCAAGAATGCAAGTCCCTGGATGCTGTATTTACAGTCAGTGACTCTGAGAGAAGGCAGTAACTCTTCCCAAAGTAGGCTTGCTTCCACTTACTATTTAAAAGCCCTGAAAGGAGACACAGAGTTGGCCAACAGGCACATGGAAAGATGCTTAACATGACTAATCATCAAAGATATGCAAGTCAAAACCATAATGAGGTATCACCTCACACTTGTCAGAACAGCTATCATCAAAAAGACAACAAATAACAAGTGCTGGCGAGGATGTGGAGAAACGAAACCCTCATGTACTGTTGGTGGGAATGTAAATTGGTGCAGCCACTATGGAAAAACAGAACAAAGATTCCTCAAAAAATTAAAAATAGAACTACCACATGATCCAGCAGTTCCACTCCTGGGTATTTATCCAAACAAAACAAAAACATAATCAGGAAAGATATATGCACCCCTATGTTCACTTCAGCATTATTTATAACAGCCAAGATATGGAAGCAATCTAAGTGCCCACCAACAGATGAATGGATAAAGAAGATGTGTTATGTATGTATGCATGTACGTACAAACACACAGCACATGCACACACACAGACACACACACACAACGTGGCACATTACTCAGCAATAAAAAAGAATGAAATCTTGTCACCATGTGTGGCAACAATGATGGATCCAGAGGGCATATTATATTAAATGAAGCCAGAAGAACAAAGACAAATACTGTATGATTTCACTTATATGTGGAACCTAAAAAACAAAACAAATGAACAACCAAAACTAAACAGAAACAGAATGGGAACTCCTTGGCAGTCCAATGGTAAGGACTTGGCCACTGCCATGGCCCGAGTTCAATCCCTGGTCAGGGAACTAAGATCCTGTAAGCCGTGCATTGTGGCCAAAAAACAAAAAACAAAAAGCAAAAAAACAAAAAACAAAATCCAGAAACAGACCCATAGATACGGAGAACAAACAGGTGGTTGCCAGAGGGGAGAGTGGTGGTGAGGGGAAGAAAGAAACAGGTGAGGCAGATTAAGAGGTACAAACTTTGTTACCAAATAAATGAGTCACAGGTATGTAATATATCCTACCCTATGGGGAATATAGTCAATAATGGTATAATATCTTTGGTGACAGAGGACAACTAGACTTATCATGGTTATCATTCTGAAATACAGAAATATGGAATCACTATGTTTTGTACCAGGAACTGATAGTGTTGTAGGTCAACTATACTTCAAAAACAAACTCATAGAAAAAATGATCAGATTTGTGATTACCAGAGGTGGGGAGGTTGCAGGGACTGATGAAGGTACAAACTTCCAGTTAGAAGATAAATAAGTACTAGGGATGTAATGTACAACATGATAAATACAATTAATACCACTGTATGTTATACATGAAAGTTAAGAAAGTACACCCTGAAAGTTCTCATCACAAGGAGAAAAATTTTTTTTAATTTTGTTATCTATTTCAATATATGAGATGATGGATGTTCACTAAACTTAATGTGGTAATCATTTCATGACATATGTAAGTCAAATCATTATGCTGTACACCTTAAACTTATACAATGTTGTATGTCAACTGTATCTCAATAAAAATGGAGGGGAGGAAGGGAGGGGAAGAGGGAGGGAGGGAAGGAGGAATTGAACTCCTCAACCTCAGTGTTCCTTGGCTAAGATACAAACCAACAGCATGAGTAGCATGCACCTGGGCCCATTATCTCATCAACCATGGAAGACTTGGAGATAAAGAGGAACCAACACAACAAATATGCTATGTTCATACTGCTTGCTATGCTGTGAGTAATAAAGTCCTTTTTCTCTGACCCAGGAGTCTTGCATCTTCTGTCAACGTGCATGAACCAATACAAAGCTAACTTGTTAGCTTACAAAAAGGACAGAATCCTAGACCCTTCACAGACATTGACAATCAATTTACAAAAATTAACTATATGTATTTTTTTTCCCCCCACATCACACAGCTTGTGGGATCTTAGTTCCCCGACCAGAAATTGAACCCGTGCCTTCTGCAGTGGAAGTGTGGAGTCCTAACCACAGGACCGCCAGGGAAGTCCTTGTATTTATTTTTATATATCAGCAATAAGCAATCATGAAATGAAAAAATTTCAAATCCATTTATAATAGAATAAAAAATGTCAAAGAATAAATCTAATAAAAGATGTACAAGACCTCTACAAAGAAAATTATATGACATTAATGAAAGAAAACTGCAGAAAATGCAGTAATATCACTTTCATAGATTGAAAGGCTTAATGTAAACATGCAACAGAGCCCAAACTGACATACAGTTTTAATGCAATCCCGATCAAAATCCTAGCAGGTTAATGGGAGTGGGGGCATGTGAAAACTGACTAGCTGATTCTAAAATTTACATGGAAATGAGATGAGCCAAAAGAACCAAAAACTCCTGAAAACCAAAGAGCTTAAAACTCTTTGGTTCTGCAAATAAACTAACTGCTTAAAAAACAGTTCTCAAGATTATATCCTGAACTACTAGTCCTCCAATGTGGATGGCGCAACAGAGTCAAAAGCACTCATTTAAGAACGTATTTAGTATCTGATTAGAAACAAAAATGCTTGCTTTCATATAAACATATAGACATAACAAAAGATTAACAAGTTCTGATCAAAAGCACTAATTATTTGATTTAAAAAACCAAAAATGTCACACACAAAAACCAAACAGCGACCTAGTAGAGAGATCTTTTTAAACTCAAATTTAAGAGTTTTCAGAAAAATATTTGAAACAAATTTTAGAACTGAGGCTTATTAAAGCCAGTTTTACACAGTTTACTGGAAGTAGTTTCAGGCTGTTGGATACATATGTACCATCCCCTGAGTATAAGATCAGAAGGTACCATTTTTCAGATACATTATAGCACTGGGAATTTTCCATTTCAACAAATGATTATCATATTGAACAAGGTCAAAAGGGTAATGGACTATTCATATTAGATGCATTTGAATTTAAAAGCTTTAGTAAATAATCTCTGACTTAGCATTTTAGTTTCTCCTGAAGACATTCAATGGGCCCCTCTGAAGTATGAGAGACACTATCAGAAATAATGGAGTAGTAATATCAAAATTGAAATTGAGCTTTACATAGTTGAAGGATTAATAGTTGAAAGTGTGCATGGTCAAAAACAGCAATCCTTCTCTTAAGGGAGAGTTTTATTTTCACAGTAGTTTTTCTTTAGAGGAACTTCATTTCCAGAAGTAACAGACCGTTTTAGTTCTAAATCCCTTCTCCTCACACCAAGTACAGTCTACTCCAAACTGAGCAGGCTGTGGCTCCTGATTATATTCAAACAGTCCCCTAACCAAAGATGAAGAGGCCTTACCTGAACACCTTCCCTTGCTTCTGGGTACCCTAACTATCCAAGTCCTAGTAGTGTAGCTGTCTTTAATACATGACAAAGCTAAAACCTCCAACTCAGACACTAATCACCCCAGGAGAGAAGAGAGCATCTCTCCCAAAGGTCTCTCACCATGTAAGTTAACTTTGCCCAAAGGAGTTTTTCTCTCCAGTATACTTTTTAAAGGTGACATTTCTCTCTATATATAATCATCACTATTCAGTAACTTAACACATATATAAATGCTGTTAGAGGGCAGACAGGTCTACGGTATTTTAAGTAACTCCAAACACACTATGTATCAAATTCCTGAAGCAGTAAAATTAACATGAGCTCATGTTCCTGGAAAGAATTAGTAACACCTTATAAGTGAAAAAGCATATTTCACTTAATTTTTTTCTTGACATTTTGAAAGCAGACCAAAATTTAACAAAACTTTTTTCAGAAGATAAAAATAATGCTTTTGCAGTTGCTGCATGCTGCAGTATTTATATTTTAGGGGAAAGGCAGAGACTTCACTTAGCTACAGTCCTACAAAAAAGCAACAGAAAAATTGATTTTAATCATTTTTCTGGCGTTATTCCATCTTACCTTGGATTGGAATTCCAAAAAGCTCGTCTCTGAACATTGTTTCCTGTCTGAAAATTAGGAACCAGAACTACAAACTTCTAAGTTCTTCCACCTTACACAGAAATCAATAAACCAGTGTTAACATTGGACTGAATTTCAAAGTTCTATTCTCTGTCCCTATCTGGCTAAAAGGTATACCTATATCAAGAGTTTCTATCGATTTCCAACTAGAAGTATCAGTTTTGCTGTCAGAGCTCTTTATTTTTGTGCATAAAAGGAAGTGGGTTTTGATACCATCTCAGTGTTCTTCCTGTCTTACCATGCATTTGAAATAAAGTGATGTCAGATTGAGAGTAAAAGCCCTAAATAAGAAAAAGCAATAGGCACATTTAGTTAGTTTTACCTTTATTAATAACTGCAACTGACTTAGAGCTGTGCAGCATGCTGCTACTATCACTGCTAACTACAAGTTTTCCATTTTAACTTGCACTGGACTACAAAAACATTCATAAATATATAATATAAACCTAAAATTTTACATTTCTATGCCTATGTCATATGCATGACCCATGAATGAGAGAAGCACATCCTACGAGAGACTAAATCATTCTTCATTATTGCTAGCTCAGCATTTATCCATTTCTGAAGACCATCAGAGCTGCTAGAGTAGTTAGCATGTCCATATGCCATCATGTGCACCTCTCATCTCCACCTTCCAAACGCCACATAAAGGCCATTCTATACTCAGTTTAATAGGCTACAATCAGAAAAGATCTTTACTGAACATCTCATCTTAATGTAAACTGAGGCTAAGTAATATTGTGACAATTTATAGAAGAAGAATGAATCAGAGGCAGTTCAAAAATAGTTTATGTGGACCACAATTTTGAATTTGCTATTACCTTGCTGTTAATATCTTCTATTATTATGCCAAGTGTGGGGCAAGGTTATACTATTTTAATCTACCCATTAAGCTACGGACAATGGGGTTCTATTGTTATTTTAAATCCTCCTGTATCATAATACATTTAGAGAGCGCCTTTCACAACCACGTAACAACCACTACTTCAAATAGCCACTGCAGTTATAAAGCAGAAACTGACACACCATTGTAAAGCAATTATACTCCAATAAAGATGTTAAAAAAACAAAAACAAACAGCCACTGCAGCATATGAGCTACTGAAAAGCAAAGACTTCCACAACCAAGATTTTGTTCCCAGTTTACTAGTATGACCTCCTTTAGTATCGATTTCCCTGTTTCCAGCCACATCCAGAAATTATGAATCTGTCTCTCTTGCCTGATGACTTGGCTTGGTTCCTAATCCTACATCAACAATTCCCAAACTTAAAAAGAAAAATTTAAACTGGGGAGAAGCCGAGGAGAGACAGAGCCCTTAATACTTTTGGCTCCATCCTTCCAAAAAAAGAGGTCTTTAGTACACTCTGAGAAACGTAAAGTCCTGGACACATCTCCTTTCACCACTGACAGGAATTACTTTAAAAAACACATATCAAGAATATTGGTCACAGGTCCCAACCTTGCCTTGCCTTTATTCCATTTGTTCCTAACACATGATGTCTGAGCTGCTCTCTAAGTGGTTGTGATCTTAAAGCTAGGATCCTCTGGTTTCAAAATTTGCCCAACTTGCAAGTGTAGTAGCTGTATGAGAGAGCACAGATAATGTCACCAATTATCTAAATCTTCTCCAGGAGTAGCACACACATTAACACAGAAATGATAATAAAGAAGATGATTTTTCTGTTATAGTTCAAAATCAATAGTTCTAGAGGTACTTAAAATTAATGAGTCAAGTATTCCAACAAGCATCACTCCAACTTCTAGATCCAAAGGCAACTCACCTATGACTCAAACGTAAGAGGTCATCCAAGCTAGGGAAACTCCTGGATGTCTATTTTGCTCTGGAATATCACTATATCAGTCCTTATAAAGGAACCAGCATGAGCTGGCTTAAAATCTGCCCCACCATGTATGGCTAAATTTATCAATATTGGGGTAAAAACGATTTGCCCTCTTCAAAAAGACTCTTGACAAGAAGCTACAAATAATTAGAAGAAGAGGTAATAAAATGTATCCTTAAGTGGAAAATTCATCCCAGGGAAGCTGCAGCAACAAAGATATTATTCCCTAAAGAAAGTTTTTGGGTAAGCTATGAAGCAGAAACCAAGCAGCAGATGAGAGCAAAGACCAGCAGACTAAATTTAGTCTTTGCCAGTAGAAATGAAAAGCATTATTTTCCTAGTAAGGAGAGAGTTCTTAGAGCAATTAAGTCATCAAATTTTAAAAGAAAGCATTAGAGAGGTAAATAAAATAAGAGCATCCTAAAAAAGGCTACGGGCAGCCAAGAGCTAAAAATAAACCCCGGTAAAACCCAGAGCCATGTTATCCAATGTGATGGCCACTAGCCACATGTAGCTATTTAAATTTTAGTTAAAATAAAATTACAAATTCAGTTCCTCTGTCACACTAGCTATATTTCAAGTGCTCAAAAGACACATGTAGCTAGTGGCTACTTTGTTGAGTTGGACAGCGTAGGTGCAGAACACTTCCATCACTGCAGGAAATTCCACGGGACAGTACTGATCTAACTGGGAAGGGAAAGAGACTAACTGACGTGGGGTCTAGAAAACGAGGAACTATTAACAAGGGCATTTGTCCTACAGCATTCAGTACTTTATGGAGGGATCAGGTGGATTTACCTTTCCTTTTCCACCTGCTCTTTTTTCCCTCCTTGTTGCTGCCACCATCACTGCTGCTGCTGCTGTTCTCAGAACTCTGGGAATCTGACTGACCATCACTGCTTTCTTCTGAACCTTCTGATAGCTCTTTCACCCCATCCGGCACATCTTTCTGAAAATGTAGGCATCCAATTAGGATTAATCATTACCATTTCAGCAAATAGGAATTAAATTTCTGATATGCATTGTTGTGACTTTTAATAGTGCTGATTAATTTTTAGTATTATAAAATTCAGTAGCAGAACCAGCAATAATTTCTGAATTCCTGTCATCTCTCTTCTTTGGGTCAAATTAGTTAATGCTTCCATCCATACTCAAAGATAAAAAATATACATGACAATCTTATGCAGGCACAACACAGAGGCTTAAACTGGACAAAAAACTTGGTATATTTAAATCCAGGTAAATGATGAAATGTTCAGGATAAAATCTATATAATAACAATTTTTAAAAATGTATGTACACCCATCATCCATGTAATATATATATATATATATATATATATTTGTGTGTATGTAAGTACCATTACGTATTATAAAAAGTCTGGATAGCAAGTGATAGTGCATTATTTGAATCTAACTGGTTCCAAAAATTGGTAAGTAGCAAGAGTCAAACACAAAAGGAATGGTTTAAAAAAAAAAAAAAAATCACACGAATCTTTGGTTTCTGCACTGGACAGTGAGAATGCTAATCAGAAAGGACACCTGTGTCAGCCACAGTATGTGAGAGATATAACAGGGTAGTTGTAAGATCAAGAACTAGGAAATTAAGACTTTGGGGGTTTGAATTCTGGCTTTATCTTCTCCTAATTATGCAGCCTTGGTCAAAGTCTTAAACTCTCATGCCTCAGTTTCCCTGTCTATAAGATGGGGTGACAGTACCTACCTTAAAAGATCATTCTGAAATTAAATGAGTTAATAAATATAAGATGCTTAGAACAAGGCCTGGCATATGATAAGAGCTCAATAAATATTAGCTACTATGTATTTATGTAGTATGTGAAATATAAATAAACACATTAGTGAATGTTATTTCTGAGTTATAAAACTATGGATGATTCTTTTTTCTTCTCAATATATTTTTTGTTTGCCCACATAATTTATTTTTATAATCAGATAAAAAGTAATTCTGACACATGACCCTCCTACCTATAACTAGTACTCACAACACTACAGTCAAGATAGTAACCTCTGATCTAATAAGGAACTGTTTTTCTCCACTTACGTTTATACTCTAGTGCCATTTCACATGTTATACACTTTCTTAAAATACATATCCTTTCCTTCAAAATACAGGAAACTTTTATAGAGTTAGTTGCAAACAAGACCTCTTGATCTGTAAGTTCAACACGCACTTTAAATACAAATATAACTGTCTTCTTTTTTTTTTTTTTTCCCCCGGTACACGGGCCTCTCACTGTTGTGTCCTCTCCCGTTGCAGAGCACAGGCTCCAGACGCGCAGGCTCAGCGGCCATGGCTCATGGGCCCAGCCGCTCCGCGGCATGTGGGATCCTCCTGGACCGGGGCACGAACCCATGTCCCCTGCATCGGCAGGCAGACTCTCAACCACTGAGCCACCAGGGAAGCCCCCCCTAACTGTCTTCTTAAACTTGTGATCCCTCCAGGATCAACTCATGCCCCAAATCTTAGAATCACTGCACCCCTTCTTTTACCCACTCCAAATAGTTTACGTTTCATTTCCCTAATGTTCCTTGCCTCCATCTCTTTCACCACTCTCACAGTTTAGGCCAATTATCTCTTCCAAACAATCATAACCAACCTTTTGACAAATTTTCTTGCTTTACTCTTAAGTGTATCCTACTTGAATTATCTTCCTAAACATGATTTGATCATGCTATTCTCCAAAAAAACCTCTGCCGTTTCCTCAACACATACCTACCCTCCCTCCTTCTCTTTCTTAACCGCTCAGTTAGGTTTTCAAAAGCCTCCAAAGTTTGTTCTTCACCTAACATTTACCCCATCCTGACTCCTTACCACACTAGCCCACACACAGATTATGGTCTAACCACTCCAATTTACTTTCAAATCCATTCTGAATCCTTTTACCTGTGCCTTTGCTTAAGCTAGTCCCTTGTCCTGGAAGGCCCTTCCTTCTATTATTTATCTGCCAAAGTTCAACTCAAATTTTACAACTTTAAAACAACAGAAAAACAAACTAAATCTTCCAGATCCCTTTATTCGAGGTTCATCTTTACTTCTCTATGCTCTCACAGTACTTTACAGCACTGTGTGTTTTGTGAGCATGCAATTATTTCAGTAACTATGTGAGCTGCAAGAGATCAGGGACCATAGTTTATCCTTCTTTATAGCCTCTACAGTGTCAGGTATAGAACAGGCATTTAATAAATGTTATTAACAATATAGAAGGCCTAGAACAACTAAAACCTAAAAGAAACACAGAAAGCTCTATGTGGGACTAGATCCCTGTAACCCTGTGAAGTTCAACAAGGTGTTTTAAAAGGAGGTGTTATGGGTAAGTTAGATCTTTTTAATGTTAGTGGGCTACACACAACCAGTGAGCACAGAGATGACTACAGCCAAAACTAAAAAGGTAAGAGGGGACAGAGTCCCCATACACATGGACATAGTCATTGCATGCCAAGCATTAATTCTCCTTCTGCTGATAAATTTTCTTTGGGAAACAACCCTTGCCTCAATTCATCAGGCTTGAGAGGGCTTAACCACACTTTCACATCAAGGGTGATCATGAACTTAAGAGCGGCCAATCAGAAGACTCCATATGTTTGGTAACGGCAATCATTCTGGTATAGGCACATGGGCCAAGCCAAACCAATTAAGCCACATCAGAACTAACTAAAGGGCTCCTGCTTCAGTTCCTGAGATCCCTTCTCTCCAGACTTACAGATTGCAGAGTGGGGGCTGGGAGTGAAGTCATGTACGATGAGAAGAGGGCCTGCCTGAGACTGAAGCCAAAAGAAAGCGGAGAGACCCATCTCTGATGACAATCATTTGAGCTCCCGAATTCAGGCTGAGTTTCCCTAGAATTTTCAGTTATGTGAACTAATAACTTCTCTGTTTCACTCAAGCTCATTTGAGTTGGTTTTTCTGTTTGTAACCGAAAGGACACTGATAAGTCAAGGTCCCTTTTTAGTGCAGAAATTAGAACTTAGCAAGCCTGTTATGGTAAAAGAACACGGGAATTCCGTCAGATATGGATTCATATTCTGGTTCTGATACTATCTGGCCAACACTGAGCAAGAAAATCCAATCTTCTGAACTTTGGCTTTCTCTATCATAATAAAGGAATAATAAACACAACTCTGAATTGTAATGGAGAATTAAATCAGAAAGTAATATAAAGCATCAAGGCTGTATACTCCACAGTAATACTCATTATTATTTAAATATGTGACACCCTTTAAAAGTCACTGGAAGTCATTTTCATTTCATCCTTTCAAACTAATACTATGGCAAAGAATGAAAAATGAAGTTACTTCTCCAATCTACCTACAGATGGTTACAGATTAATTAAAAAAAAAAATGTATTGGATACAGGATTGAAAATTTTACCTCTTCCTGAAAGTAAGCTCTTCAAGAACAGAATTCTGTCTCTATGATGCAAGTATTATTTATTACATGTAGTTACTTCCTGTTTTCACTTTTAAAATGACTAACAAAAATATTTACCTTCAAAGTATACACTCCCATTCTACCTGGAACCTTATAGAAGATGCCCTCTTCACCTCGGGAGTTTGTGTGCAGCATTGCATTCAGGCATGCAAGAGGGGAAGTTCCACTGCCAAAAAAAAAAAAGAGAGAGAGAGAGAGAACACAATGATTAGTTTCTGTCTCTGAATATCCTATGTAACACTGAATTAAGATAAAATTAACAAATCAACACTCATTTGACATAAACACATTTTATAAACTATAAAAAGTCTATAAATCGAGAAAGGCTGCCATGGAGAAAATGGATGTAAAATTCCTTCCCAGTTATCTAAAGAAAAAATAATTCTATAATTCTCTTAATCCCAATTTAGCATCTAACATTTCAGTCAAGACAAATTTCTCTCACAGAAGCATCACAAATATATTCTCTAAAGATTCTATTTCACTTACAATTTTATTTGTTAATACACCTCAATAAAGCTGAAAAAAAAATTTTTAATCTATTTCATTTAGCCCAAGCCTTAAATGTCCAGAAGTAAAACAGGGAAGAAAAAGAAAACACACACAGAAATAAATAATATTAATCTCCCTGCATACTGCTGCACCAGACTGAATCTGCATTATGGAACGAACACATTTCCATGCTCCCTTTTTTTAAATTGAGATATAATTGACATGTAACATTGTATTAGTGTCAGGTGTAAAATATAATGATTCCATAGTTATCTATATTACGATGGTCTTTAGACCTATCATGAGATCACTTTAAAAGACATAAAGCAGGCTTTGGAATATTCATCTTCTATGTAGAAACCTGGTTAAAAGTTTACTAATTCTAATATACATTTATCATATTTTCTAGAGTTTTAGGTATATAATAAATTATCTGTTGAAAATATACATATATCATTTTCCTTTCTAATTGTAAGCAATTTCATTTTCCTATAGCAATATAAATGGAAATGTGTGGCATCCTTAAATTAAAAAAAAAAACCAACTCACAATATCTGAGGGATAAGGCAACTTATTCGCACATTTCCGTATCTCCCTTCTCAGTTCTCTGCTGGTACTACTCAATAACCCAAAGAAGCCTACTGGAAGAGGCTGCTAGATATCTTGGGTATCTAAAGATAAGGTTCTCTGTGGGAGAGAGCAGGACCACTGTCTTCTGGTACTGTGAAGGTGCTGAGGGTCAAAAACTGAAAAGATGGGGACTTCCCTGGTGGCGCAGTGGTTAAGAATCCGCCTGCCAATGCAGGGGACACTGGTTCGAGCCCTGGTCCGGGAAGATCC